TGAGTCTTCCTCCTGAAAACCTCCTCAAAGTCTTGAAGTCGCTCTATGGACTTCGCATTGCACCAAGGAGATGGTATCTTAAGTTCACGCAGGTGTTGAAGACGGTGGGAGCAAGTGGGATAGGACATGATGAGATCATCTACCGATACTCCAACTGTGCGGGGGACGTCTTGCTTCTGACTGTCTTCGTGGATGACTTACTCATTGTCTCTCAAACTGAAGCAGTTAAGATTGAGTTTCTTGAGAAGCTCAACACAGTATTCGACTTTTCGGGGAGTGAGGCAACAGGTACCTTCTTGGGCATTAAAATAGAACAGAATGACGATCAGGGTCGGATAACTTTGTCACAACAGCATTTCATTGAAAAGATTGTTGAACGCTTTGAAATCGTTGCCAGAGGTGTCAAAACGGTATTACCTGGTCACTATCTCAAGACTTATCACTTGGAGGGTAAGTTGTTGAACAAGAAGGAAGTCCGCACTTATCAGAGTCTTCTGGGGTCCATTCTCTACGTGGCAAATTGTACGCGGGTTGATATCGCATTCGCGACGAGCGTCCTTAGTCGCTTTGCTCGGGCTCCTAGGCAGTGCGATATGGATGCCTTAATTCATCTTCTACAGTACCTTTACACTACTCGGGAGGTTCAGATCGTATACCATTGTCACGGAGTATCTTACCACCAGGAGTGTTTTGTCAATGAGATGATTGCATTCAGTGATGCTGGTTGGGGTACCGAGATTATTACGAGACGGAGTCAAAGCGGATATGGAATCGTTCTGAATGGTGGGGTAGTCGTCTTCGGTTCAAAAATGCAGAAGGTTGTTGCCCTGAGTTCTTCAGAAGCTGAAATTTATGCTGCCACCACATGCGCGAAACTAGTCAAGCTTTATAGAAATCTCTTGGGTCAGATGGGATTTACGCAGACTCGTCCTACTCTCTTGTTAATCGACAATGAACCATGTCTGAGGCTTTTGTGGGACAAGCGAAGTTATAGTCGACTCAAACACATTGATATTCGAACGAAGTATGCTGTTGATTTGGTAGAAAAGGACGAGCTCTATCCAGAAAAGATTCATACTTCTTATCAGCCTGGTGATTTGCTGACGAAAGTTCTGCCTTTGAATCGGTGGAGGCTCCTTGGTGAATTTCTCTTCGGAGACCCCTTACCGGATATGCTGCTCTGAGGATGCTCGCCTGTCATGCTCTCTGCGCTTCTGTCAGGGACAGTGCTACTCTGTTCCCATGCCGTCAGTCGCCAAAGTTGTATGCCCCGTGTGTGATTGACGGTGATCCGAGTTCCAGTCTCCGACAAGGAGATTTAACCGATCCTGCTGCGGTGGCTTCCAGGCTTTATCTTCCGTCTTTTCTCCGATTCAGGGAGGGTGTCTCGGACCCTTGCCACCGAGTCCGTGTCGCTCGAGAATTGTCAGTCTTCCGTCTTCTATCCGATTCAGGGAGGGTGTCTCGGGTGATGTCACCGAGGAGACTCTCATGGAGAACGTGAAGGAATCGGATGAATCGGAAGGAGGATAAAGACAGACACGTCTTCCTCAAGCCTGTGGCTAGCTGCAACCAAGACATCTGTTCTAGGTTAGTATCTTAGAAACTCGCTCATCCTGATCTATGGAACCCATGACGGTAGTGAACGATGAAATTGAATGGCCAAAAATGAACATTGAGAAAGAAATGACGGATGAGTCGAGATCGATAAGTCATGTGGTTGAAATGAAAGCGCTGACGTCAAAAATGATTGTGCCTTGGCAAAACAATGATCCCCGGGGTAGATAGGATAGAAAGGGCCCATAGATTAGAAACGAGAAAATTGTGTTCAAAACAATCAGAGATCAATCAATGCATTGCAAGAATTCTGAACCTGATCTCTGGAGCTTGATTGGAATTCTAAATTCTTGGCATCATCAATGGGTGGAGATGTCTTCATTGCTCAATGCGCAAGCTTCAGAGAGGTCACATGATGACCAATCCCATCATGAGGATCAGGTTGAAGAGGAGGAGGAGCTGTCTGACTTGAAAGATGCAGATGTGTTCAGGACTTAGTCTTGAGCTGACACTGCAGGCAGCTGGGAAGAGTTTATGATGGAAGGTGAGGAGGAGCACAGGTGCATGCGGACAGCGCAGGCGGATGAGGAGCGTCTCTGTGGCATGCGGATGGTACAAGCTGAGGAACCCGTGTGCACGAGCCTCAGGATGCGCTAGAGGAGGACAGCGCAGGTGCTGCAGGAGTGCTGCTGAAGCGCAAGCGCTGGAGGAGCAGCGCAGGCCCTACGATGGTGGGGAGAAGCCGCAGCGCAGGTGGAGGAGCAGCACAGGTGCACTGTTGGCGGGGTGCGACCGCACTGCATCCGCAGCGCAAGCGGAGGAGGAGCGCAGGTGTCACAGGAGGAGAAACGCAGGCGCACCAGGGTGCACACTTGAAGCGAAGGAGGAGCGCAGGAGGCATGCAAGATGGGGGATGAGCCTGTGCAGAACGGTTGATGGAGTGGTAGCAGCAAGATGACCTTGGAGAGGAGAGCAGCATGGAAGTCAGCTTGGGAAAGATGTTGATGGTCAGGTGATGGGAGCAGCTGACAACGCTGCAAGAAGCTAGAGCGATCGTTGGAAAGGAGGACATCGCAGGGGACAGCTGCTTAGCTGTCAAGCAGATGATTTTGACAAGCTGAGAAGGTTGCAGACTTCCGACTTGCTTCACAAAGGGAGGGTGTAAGAACTCAGGTTCTGACAAACCTCTCAGAAGTTCTTTCAGACGCGATAAGTTCAAGGGATGCGTCTAATCAGGTTGTGAACCAAGTGAAGCCTGCAGGTCCAAGCTAGTGGGCTGGAGCTTAGTCTGTGACTTAGAAGATCCGGTTGGTTGGAGCCTGGGGAAACTGAGGCGGCGCCGGAGGAATCAAGAGGCGCCGGCTGTCGAAGAGGCAGCACTCGTACAGTGGTGGAAGTAAGGCGGTGGTGTGTGAAGGGAAGCTGTTTGGTTGGTCTTGCTGCTACGAGTGTTGGGAATAAAGTGCTGGGGATTGTTGGGAAGTTGATCTGAGTTACCTGAGGTGTTTGGTTGGCTGTGAAAGTCATTGGTGTCTTCGTGCGCACATCATCTGTGAGTCTTGGTCTTTGGACTTATCAGTCAGCTGTTGAGCTGTTCTACTAGTCATTCATCTGTGCACAGACTCTAGGAGTCAGGAATTGATTCCAATATGATCCGACTCTTTTAAAATCACTCAGTCAGTTTACTATGCCGCGCGGCGGCTCAGCGGCATCTCGCGGCGGGCCGCTGGAGTCCGGGGCCGGGACCGTGATCGGACCGTCTAGCCTCGGGGCCCGGGTCGCTGGGCCGCACCGGGTACGCGCCCGTAACTTAGCCTGTGTATGCGGCCGCCGTCACCGTCACGCGGCCGCTGTACGGTCGGGCTCGGCCCAGCCCGCCGCCGGCCTGATCGGACAGTTCAACGTTAGCCGGGCCCGCCGGCGCCGGTCCCGCGGCGGCGGGCTGGCGGGCCGGGGCCGAGGCGAGTCCCGGGCCGCGGCTGGTAAATCCGTTTCAAACGGTTTTCGACGGTATACCCGTACCTATAGCAGGATCTTTGGGGGTAGTGTCAGAACAATAGGGGAAAAGAACCCACCCACGTCTTCAGCTCGAAGCAAGTAGCTTGTCATATGAGGTGGGTAGGGGTACTTTTGTACTGGTACTGGAATGTAACATTGTCTGGAAAATTTCAGGTAGGGTACACCAAATTCGGGGTGGTAGCTATTTTTGCTTTGAAACACCGGTGGATTAGAATTGGAATGTGAGAGGGTGGAGGGTAGGGGTGGTAGTTGACTAATTGAAGAGCCGACGATGGCGACTAAAGTAGCAGGTAAAGATGGCGGAGGGGACGAGGAGGAGGAGGAGGAGGAGAGGGGGGAGGGGGGATATGAGAAAAATGGATACATGCATAGATGGTATAGAGCAGGTAGAGATAGCAAGTTAGGAACTTGAAGACAAAAACAATAGCGAAAAATACCCCCATGGGGAAGGAAGAGGTCAGGTGATATCCCGAGGGGAAGGAGGGGTTTGCAACGTTTTGAATGTTTGTACCGAGAAAGAGAATCCTTTCTCTTACAGCTCAAACTCACAGATTGATTCTTTGAAAGTGTGGGTAGAGAACGTAGATGTAATGATGTGCAAGTCTTATCCCTGCCAAATAGAGCAGAAATTTGTTCATGAGATCTCTCTGACCTGAATGCGAGGATAACGAAACTGATGTGAGCTCAACCATTGTGAACGTGCTGATTGCCTCCATGTGGATGCATTGCCTTTTGAAGCATTACTTCCTGTTTGAAATACTGAGGCCGGAATGGGGTATCGTGTGAACAAGATACGTCTTTTTGTGAAAGCAAACTTTTACCGGATGAGGAGGTCAAGATAGCAGGAAGTAGAATGGAGTGTAAATTCAAAGATACAGAGAGCAAGTGAGCGCTCTGGAAGGCAGGCACATTATCCTCTTATAGAGAAAGTTCACTGTTGCATTCGTTGACTCGAAGGAGGGAAAAGCGGAGATTTAGGACGAGGAGTTTGTTCTCTCGTAACCTCGCCCTCCTGCTGCAGGCTTGACGAAGCTTCTTGGTCGTCGCATCACAAACCCTCAGGGAGTGTTCCGTCCTCTGAGAGGAGGCGATCACCACCACCAAGAGATGGCGGACCCTGCCAAGTACGGGCATTTCCCCATTCCCCACGTCTCGAGCATGCACAAGAACTTGGCAAAGGTAAGATCATGCAGATGAAGAGAGGAGGAGAAAAACTTTGGTGGAGATGATGGTGGCTGTGATGGAGACGGTGGTGGTGGTGGTGGTGGTGATGATGATGATGATGATGATGATGATGATGATGATGATGATGGTGATGATGCGGAAGGAAGGATCAAAAGGAATGCAAATACATTGGGAAGGAGAGGAGGAGGAGGGAAGAGAGGAGAGGGAAGAGGAAAGGAGGGGAGGGGTGAGTTCTGAACTCTTCACAGGGGTTCGGCACGGTTTTTTGGTTTTGGATTTTCTATCGAACTTATCATGTAAGAAATTATTGGGAGAGTGGAGGGAGGTTGGTGAAAGTGAAGAGGAGAGGGGGAGAGGAGGAGAGAAAGATGAATAGGGGAGAAGAGGCAGTTGAAAGGAAGGGGACGATGACGAGGAAAGAAAGTTGTTTGGGGGGAGGGGAGAGCAGGAAGAGGGAAGGACAGAGGGAAGCGGATGAGGAGGAGGGAAGGAGGAGAGGAAGGAGGAGGAGGAGGAGGGAAGGAGGAGAGGAAGGAGGGAAGGAGGAGGAGGAGGAGGGAAGGAGGAAGAAGAAGGGGTCTGGAGGAGAAGATGACGTGCGAGGCAGGACGGAAATGCCGTGTTTCTTGGTCACCATCCATTTCATGAGGAGCATTGAGAGCCTCGATGACTAGCGATAGTCGGAGAATTTTGTGCTGATGTTGCGGGAATAAACGGGAGAGACAGAACTGTTTTCAACGATGTTGTTATCTTTCGTTGGCTCAGAATTGACGCTTGCTTGTATCTTGTAGCTTCATTATCTCTACATCACACCAACACAATTGTCTTGACAAGATACAAAGTTCCCGGCCTATTTTACATAGTTTGCATGGCGTTTACGACCATTCTGATGTCATTTGATCATATGATCGGGAATCCCTGTTATGACTTTCCCGCTGTCAAGGATCCGAATATCGCACAAGATTCTCTGAGCAGAAAGGAAGTCAACATGAAAATACAACCATGAAAGAGATCATGAGCATGAAGGAAACATCAAGACAGGCAGCGGAGAAGAAAGTTACATCCGGCAAACAAACAATCAACAGGCAAACCACTTTCCACCCTCTTTGAGTCATCTCACATCTCCATCGGAGTAAACTTGCATCAGGTCCGCCTTTTGATTCAAGTACAACACCTGTCACCCAAACTTCATTCCCTTCCCTCCCCTCCTTCCACCCCTTCCCTCCTCCCTTCCCTCCTCCATTTTGCTTGCTCCCTCCCCTCTTCCCCTCGCACCTCTTTCGTCTTCCCTCCCTCCTCTCCTTTCTGCTTCCTCCCTCCCCTCCTCTCCTCCCCTTCTCTTCTTGCAGTATTCCTCTCCTCGCCTGCATGCTCCTCTCTTCTCCTCACCGGGTTCATAGGAGCCTGCACACTCCCTGCTGGTAGAAATTTCTCCCCCTCCACGTCAACCTTGAGCTGCAGCAAAGGTTAGATGAGAAAACCAACCTCCGCCTCCCTCACCTCCTGAATTCCTCCCGTATCCTCTCCTCCCTCCTCCTCCTCCTCCTCCTCCTCCTCCTCCTCCTCGAGCTTCGTTCGGCTCTGAACATCTTTGTGCTGCAACAAGTTCATGGCTGGTCTCCTGAGGTGCCTCGCTCACCTCGTGAAGTCTCTGCATGTAGGAGACGACATGGCGACAACCTCGCACGATCACTTCCTGCGGGGGCTGCGAGACAGTGAGGAGGACAGCAGAGGGGAAGTGGAGGGAACGAGGG